CGCGAACGGCGTTCCCTGGGCCGAACGGAAGGCGGCAGGGGCTCTCCTCCGCGTCTTTCGCGAGAGAGCCTACGGGCGGGCTTCGTCGTGATTCCCAGTGTCTGCCGTGACCACGACGGTGAATCGAACTCCTCTCTCTCCGAGGCTACGCGCACGCATGGAAAGTGCGCTCCAAGGAAGAGAACGCGCCGCACCTTCCTGAACGAGTTTTATTTCTTATTATGCTTTTTAAAGTTAATGCTTAAATTGTTATCTATATTCCCCACAAGAACACAAAATAATGAACAATGACCTTTTTTTTTTTCGAAAAGTGAGAGGAAAAGCAGATCTCTTAAATATTTCCTGTACTTGAGTAGTTGTTCTTTTTTAGTCAATTTTATGACCGCTTTATACACTTTAATTTTGCACTTTCAGTTTCCTTTCAAGTTCTAGTAATGTACATGATGTCCGTCTTTCCTTGACTCGTTCGCGGTCCGAGAGGCGAGGCGAGAGGCGAGGGAAGGGAGAGAGGCGAGGAAAGCGAGGGAAGGGAGAGAGGCGAAGAAAGCGAGAGAGGCGAGGGACGGAAGAGAGGCGAAGGAAGCGAGAGAGGCGAGGGAAGAGAGAGAGGCGAGGGAAGGGAGAGAGGAGAGGGAAGGGAGAGAGGCGAAGAAAGCAAGAGAGGCGAGGGAAGGGAGAGAGGCGAAGAAAGCGAGAGAGGCGAGGGACGGAAGAGAGGCGAGGCGAGGGCGAGGGAGAGAGAGGCGAGGGAAGGGAGAGAGGAAGGGAAGCGAGAAAGGCGAGGGAATCGTGAGAGGCGAAGGAAGGGAGAGAGGAGAGGGAAGCGAGAGAGGCGAGGGAAGAGAGAGAGGCAAGGGAAGCGAGAGAGGAAGGGAAGTGAGAGAGGCGAAGGAAGGGAGAGAGCAAGAGAGGCGAAGGAAGGGCGAGAGCGAGGGAAACGAGAGAGGCGGGGAAGCGAGAGAGGCAAGGGAAGCCGAAGTGAGGGAAGGGAGAGAGGCGAAGAAAGCGAGAGAGGCAAGGGAAGCAAGAGAGGCGAGGGAAGGGAGAGAGGCGAAGAAAGCGAGAGAGCGAGGGAAGCGATAGAGGCGAGGGAAGCGATAGAGGCGAGGGAAGGGAGAGAGGCAAAGGAATGGAAAGAGAGGAGAGGGAAGCGAGAGAGGACACTTACCCTCCCCCCCCAAAAAAAAAAAAAAATAAAAATAAATAATGATTCAGGAAATATGGTCTTCATCTCGATATGTAGAGCAAGATAAGAGCTGAAACATGCAACACATTCCTTGGCCTTTTCCTCTCCTTGTGACAATAGCGATCATGTCTGCAGAGTATTAGTTGTACCATCGACCACAACTTTTTGTCCTCTACAGGAATATCATCTTTAGTTTCTCCTGCCTTGGTGTGTCCATACTGTTAAGACTAACCAAATGTTTTGTTAGTCATACGATCCATCACACAAAATGATACAAGAAGACCTAGTGACCTTGGACTCTGTGCTGTGCCTTTCATATTTTTTTTTCTATTTGTTGTGAAACAGTTCAGGTCTGCAGCTTATTACTTAAACCAGTGACTGTCAATTATTATTCTTTACTAGAATATTATCTTCAATCATCCCTAGCTTAGTGCATACTTATCTGTAAAAAGAAACCTGAAAGGACTAGAGTACCCAATGTACAAGCAACATTGCCAATTTGACACTAACCACACGTCTACACCAGATTTCCATCCATCCTCTTGGTAACTAAATTAATAATTTATTCTAACATTACGTTAACATGAAACACAGCCACTGTAAGGGGGTCTAGAAACAGAGCCTCGGCTGGGGAAATAATCCCATCAGAGAAAGTCCCGGGCTGCAGCCTTCCCTCCTTACCCCCCCCCCAACCACTACCCCCCAAAAATTCAAGGACCTTGTAAATATGAAAAATGTGGAAAATATAGAAAAAATAATCCATTTCCTCTACATTTACCCCAAAAGCTCCCATGCATTGTTGTTCTTTGCAGGAGCACCAAAAAGAGTGACATATTTTGTCTGTTATTGGCAATCATTCAGATGCCATCCAAACATTAACTATAATGATCAAACCTAAAACACGACTCATCAATTTGTATATGACCAGTGCAATCTATAGGTATATAAGAATTTAATTCCTAAAAGCTGGAGTTACAATTCAAGCACTCATGTGACCTCCACTACACGTCACATTAGTAAATGCCAACAATCTCCTCAAAACATAATATGGTATGACAAAATGCTTACTTTTTGACTTTTTATCAAAGTCAAACTCTGTCTTGTCAAATGAATGTACATGAAGATTGTTCACCTTTGAATATGATTTTAGCAACTTCATTCTACAGCAATGACACATTATCTGTTTCTATTGTCTTCTGCTTCTGTGGCATGAGAAAATGTCTACTTAATGACCTTTCATCAAAGAAGGAACCAATCCAAACTCTATTTTGTCAGAAGAATTGTACTGGAAGATTGGTCAATTTTGAATATTACAGCAACTCTACATAAAGGACACATAATCAGTTTCTATTGTTTACTCTCTACGTTCTTCATTCCCTCTTTTCTTTACTTACAATCACTCCTTTTTTCACGCTTACAAACCTTCAAGATCCCTAATAATCTTGTCCCTCCTTCCACATCTCCGTCTACATTCAATTATCTTATTTACCTGTTTACTTCGTCCGCCATACCGTAATGCTCTCGTGTTTTTTCTTGGTGGAAATCGCATAAAACTAATAATGAACTGACCAACTTGGCATCTAAATTAACAACTTACTGATAGCGAAGTAGATGAAACGTTTATTTGGTTGGTGTTTTTGTTTTCGTTCGTGTAAGTGTATCCGGATCGCTTGAATTGCACACTCAACCTTTATGGAAAACGATGTTGGAGTGACTATTTCAAAATCGTACAGTAAATAGATGTTCCATAGTTATGGTTGACGAAAAAACGCTGAAGCAACACACTAATTACTTTGCCCCCAATCAAGTGTCAGTATTTAAAGAAACCAACCTTTTACAAAGTATTTTTATAATCTACTATTTTTACCATAGCCCTAAATTCTGCTATGTTGATATGCCTTAAAATAGAATATAAATAAATAAATAAATAAATAAATATATATATATATATATATATATATATATATATATATATATATATATATATATATATATATATATATATATACGTTCTCAGTGGGGTCTACACATATTTTCAGTTATAACGAATGCATCTTCTGAATGCGGACTTAATAACGATCTCGACACACACACACAAATGTAGATATATGTATATATATGTGTATGTATATGTATATATTTATATGTATGTCTAATTATACATACACATATATAAACATATGTATTTATGTATAGATGAGTAAATACAGTATATAGATAGATAGATAGACATGTGTGCATGTTTTTGCGTGTCCTTTTCATTCCGGCAGTCGCCTCGCTTGTCGCTCCCCAAGCCTTGCTCCTTATTCCTGCCACACTTGGCATTGGCCGCCTGACCCTTGACCTGTCCTGACCTGTCCCTCGTTTCCCTGTTCCTTCTCCTCCTCTCCCTCCTGCACTTCTTCCTCTCCCATTCCTCTTCAAAGTCGAAGATGAAATCCATTTTGATTTCGGAAATGTCACTTTTCAGTAAATCTGGGTTGTGCGTGGTTGGTGTTTTACTATTATCATCACTGATGTTAATATCAATAAAATGATAAAGATCATCATAGTCAATGATGTTACTATTCATCATGAATTTTTAGAAATATTTTGAGTTTTATCATGATATTGGATGTCATTATTATCCTTTTCATTATCAGTACCATCTCCATTATCATTACTATTTTCATTGTCATCATTATTACTTCAAGCATAATCATAATCATCGTTATTACCATTATCCTTGTTTTCATAGTCATTTCTGCTGTTGTCATACTTATCCTCAGTTAAAAACGCTTGATTAAGAGCGAGAAAAAGATAAATGTACCCCATATATTTATTAGTTATTATACATACGATTCCACGGCTGGAGGAAATCTCATTAACTAGTCACTGTCTTCTAGTGACAACCCTCGCTGTCCGCTTCTACCTTCGCCTCCCCTTTCCTGTCTGCCTTTGGCCTCCCCCCCCCCCTGCCTGCTGCTTCCGGACGCTCATCCCTGCCTGCTGCTTGCACAGGCTCGTCGTCTTCTGGTGCTTGCTTAGCCTTGCCTCTTCTGCCAGTTGCTTGCTGAGGCTTGTCCCTCCTGCCTGCCGCTCCACTAGCCCCGTCCGTGGCAGCTTCTGGCGGTGTCTCGCCGCTGCCAGCTGCTCCCCGAGCGGTCCTCCTCCTCCTGCCTGAGGCCGAGGATTGAAGTTTTTTGTCTTTTTGTTCTTGTTCTTTGCACAGCATCTGAAATGCAGAGAGAAAGAATTGCTTGTGTTTACTTTTCATGTTTTTCATCGTCGTTCGACACCATCTCAACGCTTGCCTCCCTTCCCTCCTCTCCCTCACAAGGGAGTCCGTGCCCTGAGGGCCTGAGGCTACATGGAGACTTGCTGGGAAACGAGACAAGATCCTTCCCTGCGAGTCACTCAGACCTCCGCCCTTGTTCCGCTGCTGCTGTACATACGTGTATGCTGTGTGTATGGGAGTAGGTGTACATATTACATTATGTCATATTTCCCCCTCTTAAACACACACATTCTCTCACAAACTCAAACGCACTAACGTTTATACAAATTTGAAAAGGAAAATGGCCATAATAAAAAAATAAATAAAATCGTAACGTTTCGAACTCGTCAAGATTTTTTGATGAGGAAGTCTTGACGAGTTCGAATGTTACAGTTTAGTTTAATTTCTCCCTTTGATCTTCGTGTACACCTTACTGTGTTTGCGACAGAATGTGTGTGTTTGCGCTCATATTTCCCTCTCTGACACACAGGCGTGCAGAGGGATGTGTCTGGACGCATGACACACTTACCATCATCCGCTGTAACAGGCTGTCTTCCTCTTCGAGTTCCGAGTCGATTTCTCTCTCCTCTGCATCTCTCAACTTTTTCTGGAAACATGAATTATTAGGTTATTTTCTCAGTCATTTTGGCATTAAAAGACCTAGCATTACTCTATCTTGTTGCCACACCATCAACGTCACTACAACTTTTATCGTAATTGAGAGTGTTCCAAATCTCACAATCCGCACAGTCGAGTCGACGCACAGGCAACGGAGGGTCCTACCTTGAGGGCCTCGATCCTCTTGTCTCGTCTCCTGAGCTCGCTCTCAAGCTCGTCTCTCTCTTCGGCTGCCTCTTTCTCTTTCCTCTTCTCCCTTGCTGTGAGTCTTTCCACCCTTTTATCGTGCTCTGCCTGGAAACGAACGACTTTATGAGTACTGCGGCATGGAAGACGAAATGCTTTATCTGTGCGCGCACTTCAGCGGTTCCTTGGTTTCCAAAGGGAGAACTTACCTCGGCTTGGGTGAGCTCGCTCTCCTTCTCTTTTATCTGCGTCGTCAGCGCTCGATTCTTGCGCGATTCTTCTCTCAGACGAGACTGCGGGGGAAGGCAAGTTTAATTGTTAAATCTCCTCTGTTCCCCCTCTTCGTCCTCCTTCTCTCTCACTACAATACACAAAGCTACGTTCGCCCAGCATTTATATTTGAAGATAAGAAATGTGAGGTATAGACATACAGGTGGATGTCCTAGTTACACGTCTATGCAATACCAATATGTACACATGCAATTATCCAGGTTTTTCAAGATTTTTTACTTACATGCAAAAAAAGTATCATTACAAGTCTGTGCTTGATCACACAGCTGACAACTCACCTGCAAAGTTGCAATACGTACCTGAAGATCTGCGATTTGCTCATTGAGACCTTCCTTCTCGGCCACGGCTTCTTTCTCACACCTTTGCCTGTTGTTTTGCGCTCTCGTCACCTGGTCCTGAGGGAGTCAATCTTGGTCAGGATGTTTCCAATAGAATTGAACAGTTGATTTGTATCTGCCTTGTCAGGGTCCTCATCCCTCCTCCACTCTCTCTCTGTACCTTCTCTTTCCTACCCTTCTCTGTTTCCCATTCCATTTTTCCATTGTCTTTTTTTCTCTTTCTCTCTCTTCCTTTCATTCTTTCTCTATTTCTCTCTTTCCCCTCCTCTCATCCCACTTACACACCTTGAGCGCTTCGATCTCGTCGTCCTTTCTTCCGATCTCTAGCATCAGGTCTCTCTTCTCCTTCTTCAGGTCGGCTGCCTCGTCTTCCTTGATGTTGCAGGCTATGTTCGATTCCCGCAATTTGGCCTCGTACTCAACCTGTGGAGGAGACCACATGCGTCAGGAAGGCTTCTCTAACCAGAGAACCAGATGCCCGGGGCCAATAACCCTCTCTCTGTGTACGTACCTCTATTTGTACATTTTCTGCTTCCTTTTTCTTCACTTCCTCTTTGATGTCTCCGTTTTCCTTCCGCAGGTTGACTGCCTCCGCTCTTTCAAGTCGCACTTTCTCTTCATCTCCTGTAGATCTTTTTCCTGCTTCTTGAGTTTGTCCTATAAGGGGAAAAAAAAGGGAAAAAAATCTGAGGTATGCGTCTTCCCTTTTTTTCTATTTATCTCTTTTCTTCTCTCCTCTCCCTCCTTTCTTCTTCATTATCCCGCCTCCCATCTCCCATCTCTATATTTCTTACCTTTATCAATTTAATTTCATTTTTGTTTTCCTGGAGGTCCTGCTTCAGCTTCCCGTTTTCCTTCCGCAAGTTGGCTGCCTCCGCCTCCTTCGAGTCGCACTTCTCTTTCATCTCATGAAGTTCCTGCTTCAGCTTCCCGTTTTCCTTCCGCAAGTTGGCTGCCTCCGCCTCCTTCGAGTCGCACTTCTCTTTCATCTCATGAAGTTCCTGCTTCAGCTTCCCGTTTTCCTTCCGCAAGTTGGCTGCCTCCGCCTCCTTCGAGTCGACCTTCTTCTTCATTTCCCTTAAGTCATTCTCCTGCTTCTCGTGTTCTTCCTGCGAGAGAAAAGTCTCAGGAATGCCTCCAGGAAACCGCTCTGGCACTGAAGCCAAAGCGACACCAGACGATCATCGGCCAATTAAGACTCGGTAAATGAAGCGGGAATTGAAATCCAGAAGCGGATCAGAGATCATTTCTTCGGTTAGTCTTACTCTGCGCAACATAATTCCATGTTTGATTTACCTTATGCACACACACACACACACACACACACACACACACACACACACACACACACACATATATATATATTTATAAATATATAAATATATAAATATATAAATATATATATATATATATATATATATATATATATATATATATATATATATATATATATATATATATACCCATTATTCCACTGTTGTATTTCATCTCCCTCTTTTATATGGCATTATATGTACGCTTAAGTTGACAGCACATTTTCCCTAGCGAACTCACCTGCATGTTCCTCATCCTTTCCTTCTCGTCCGCAGCACATTCCTTCGCCTGAAAAGGAACTCTGTTTAGTTGACTGGAATTAAGGCATTGGATGTATAAATAATAAATGAAAAAGAACAAAGAAAAGAAAAAAAAAGATTAATTTGCGAAACATAACATTGACAATAATTTGATAATATTTATGATTATAATAACAATGATAATGATGGTAATCAAAATAATATTTATAATCATAATAATGATAATGATGATAATTATAATGAAAAATAACATAAATAATTTGTAATAATAATATTTATGAAAATAAAATAATCATGACCAAGGCGCCCAGCCTGATAACAGAACATTAGGCCAGTAAGCATGGTAAAAAAAAAAAAGAAAAAAAAAAGAAAAAAGGGTAAACATGGCGCCCCCCCCCCAAAAAAAAATAAATAAAGAAAATAAAAAAAACGGTAAAAAGGGGGAAATGACGGTAAACATGGCAGAAAAAAAAAAATCCATATCACTCCATCCGGTTGCCGGCTGTCCTTACCAAGGAGAAGACTCTCTCAGCGGGGGATTTCCCCAACCGGTCCCCCAACAGGTCCTGCGGAGTCTTCCCTCTCTCATTCTTCCTGCTGGTGGACGCCCCGAGGCCAACCAGGGCGCCCACCGCCAGAAGATGCCCCATGAAGCTGCTCCGTGGAGAGGCGTGTCGCCCTCATGGTCGACGGGGTCCACGTCGGCCCCGCCCGCCGCGAGAGCTTCCACTGCCCCCCGATGTCCTTCACAAGCTGCGAGGTGCATGGGCGTGGCCTCTGGAATGTGTCCGAGTTGAAGAGGCGATCACTGCCTTCGCTAATTAAGCTCCGCCCACCGGAAAAGTCATTTAATGTGATCGTGATATTGATGTTAACGATAATAATAGTGTAAAATGATGATGTAAAAAATAACTGGAAAACAACAAAAGCAAGAATAACAATGATAAAAGAATCAATGATGATAATGATAATGACAATAATAGAAAAATATAAGAATGATAAATCACTAATAATGATAATATGATCATTATTAATAATAATGATAATATAATAATAATAGCAATTATTATCACAGTATTAAATGATTAAAATAATTATCATTTACAATAATAAAACTATGATTTTCAGGTTAATATTGATGTTTACGCAATTAATAATTAAAGCAACAACACAAATAATGAAAGCAACAACAATAATAATGAGAATAATAATAACAATGATAATAATTACAATATAAGTAAAAATGATAGTGATTCATACATTAATAATGATAATATTAATAGACAAATAAAAACAATAATCGTGATAATAATAAATAATTGTGATGATAACCAAATGATAATAATAATAATAAAAAAATACAACTTACTACTACTAACGAGAACAGCTTCATACATATGCATACGCACATACATATACAGACATATATATTTATATCAATCTATCTATATTTATTTACTCCTGTATAAGAATGTAGACACCAGTCCATGCAAACACCATTTGGCAAATTTGTCGAACATGGTATATATCGAGAATAATATCGGCTCTGGGAAGTGACTAATTGGCAACTCCCACTAAAAACTCGCGCTCTGACTATGACATAAAAATGGCGTTTATAAGCACAGAACACAAAAGCTCAGAGCACTAGCTAGCATAAACACCATCTCATGTGAAGAGAACAGCCACAAGGTGCCTTTGATAGGTTAAATACTGGCGTACAAACCACTTCTTTTTCTTGTTAAAAGCGCGGGAACATGGCGAAAGGTGCCAATTAGTCACTTTTTCCCCGAGATCTTTATTCTCAAGATATTGCATGGTTCCACAAATCGCTAAATGAAATAGGGATATGAAATATATCTATCTATCTAATTGAATATTTATATTTATGAAAGTAATAATAATAATAATGACAATAATAATAACAATTATAATAATACTAACAATAATAATAATTAAAATAATAATGATAACAGCAACAATAATACCAAAGATAATGATCATAATGATAATGATTATAATAATAATAATAACAATAATGAAAATTAGTAGTAATAGTAATGATAATCATAATGACCATATATCATTATTACCGTCATTATGATAATTACGGTTGGTAATATCATTTTTATCCTTTTTATTAATGATGATGATAAAAGATAAAGATAATGTTTAAAAACAATATGACCAGTAATAACTATGAAATTTTTTTTTTTTTCATTTCTTTTTCTCACTTTTAACCTACTTTAGGTGATTTGTTTTATTTTTCGTTATTTATTTATTTTTTATCATACATATATATTTTTTATCATACTTTTTTAAAAATCTTTTTATCATCATTTCTCTTTTATCATCATTATCCTTGTTATTATTATCATTACTAATATCATTACTTTTATCATTATCATCATTATTATTATCATTATTATTATCGCTTTTAATGAATATCTCCACAAATAAAAATAATGATTAGAAATAAAATAACAATACAATCAATAACAGTAAAAAAAAAAAAAAAAAAAATGTCGCTCCTGTCGCCCTACCCCAATGTCTCTGGCGTTGGGGTCGCTGCCTTTCTCGAGCAGCAATTCGGTGACTGAGACGTGACCGTTCGGCTGCCCTGCAACGGCGTCCGGCCTGAGGGAGGAAGAAGCTCGTATTAACCGTCGTGTTGATGGGTGATGGGAAGGAGGATGGAAAGGGAAGTGAAAGGAAAAGGAAATAGAGGAAGAGAATAGAAAGAGGAGATTTTTTTTTTTTTTTTTTTTTAATGAAGAGGATAAAGGAAAGTGAGACAAACAAAAGAAGAGAAAGTGGAAAGGAAAGAAATGTAGCGAGAAAGAGGAAACGTAAAGAAAGGGAAGATAGAGTTGGACAGGATATAGTGGAGGAGGGAGAAAGTGGGGAAAAGGAAAAGATAAAAGTAGAGGAGAGAGAGCGAAGAAGGGAGGAAGAAGTGAGGTGGAGGAAGGGAATGAAGGAAGAGGAGAGAGAGAGGAAGGAAACGAGAGAGACAAGAAAGGAGGAAGAGGAGAAGCAGCGGAAGGAAGAGAAAGTTATGGAAAAAGAGAAGAGAGAAAGGGAGGATTTGAAAGAAGAAAAGAGAAAGAGTAAAAGGGAGAAGTATAGAGAAAGAAAACAAGGAAGAGGAAAAGGAAGAACAGAGGGAAGAAGTGAGGGAAAAGTGAAGAGATGAGGAAAGGTGGGAAAAGAGAGAGAAGGTGGGAAGGAGAAAAGAAGAGGAAAAAGTCTATCATTAGCGTCTTTATACTTTAACTAAATCAATAAAATGTAGTAATAATAATAGTAAAAAAAAAAAAAAAAAAAAAAACATTTATAATAGGAACAATATGAATGATTATGCTTAGAATAATTACAACATTTATAACAAAAGAAAACATAACAATAAAAAAGAATATTTAAGTACCCATAATGTAAATGATAATGATAACAGTAATGATAATAAGAATGATAATAATACTGATAATAAAAATGATGATAATAATGACGATGATAGTGATAAAAAATAATGATGATGTGAATAATAAAAACAAAAACAATGATAAAAACAGTAGCAGCAAAAATTAACATAATGATGATAATAACAATGATAAAAAATAAAATAATAGTAAAAATGATAGTGATAGTTACATTAATAATGATAATACTAATAAACAAATAAAACAATTATCATCATAAAAATAAACAATAATAATGATAAACAAATGATAACAAAAATAAAAATACCACAACGTACTACTAACAATAGTAACAATAACGAGAATTGCTTCGTGCGTATGCATACGCACACGCATATACACACAGACATATATATCTATATCGATCTATATATACTTATTTGTGTATAACCATGTACACACAAGTCCACACAAATCATTTGGCAAATTTGTCGAACATAACATATATCGAGAATAAACATCGGCTCTGGGAAGCTGACTAATTGGCAACTCCCGCCAAAAAAAAAAAAAAAACGCGTTATGAATATGACACAAAAATGGCGTTTATAAACACAGAACACAAAAGCTCAGAGCAATATTTAGCATAAACACCATCTGATGTGAAGAGAACAGCCACAAGGTGCCTTTGATAGGTTAAATACTGGCATACAAACCACTTCTTTTTCTCACTAAAAGCGCGGGAACATGGCGAAAGGTGCCAATTAGTCACTTTTTCCCCGAGATATTTATTCTCAAGACATTACTCACTAAAAG